GTATGAATGAAGACATCCTGGGTGTCTGAGTGTGGATGGAAAAAGTATGGGTATACAAAGAGACAGGGGAGGTATGTAGAGAGACATCCGGTGTGTGCAGTGAGACTGTGTTACTTTGTAGAGAGACATCCTGGGTGTGCATTGAGACAATGTGTTTTTGTAGAGACCTCCTAGATGTGACGAGAGACAGTGTGTATAATGAGAATGACCAACTCTCTCCTCTGTGCTCACTAATGTCACACTATGGTCTTGATCGATACTAATCATGGACTGAAATCATTTCACAAACCATAACAGAGATATTACCCTTCCTTTACGACACATAAAGAAAGGTGTAATATTTCAGAGTAACTGGGAGTCAAAAACACCAGAAACACCAAATCTATCACATTTCTGTTACAGTTCATTAACCCCTTAAGGACAGAATATAGGCTAATACAGAAACTTAACAAGTTAAAAAAAGTATAAAAGGCATTCTTAAGCTTATAATATAACCATCTAATCACCTTAAACGAAGGACTCTCTGAGTATCGACCAGATTGCTGCACCCAGCACCATATAGTTACTGAGAGGGACTTTAATGGCATTAAACGTAATGAGCTGTAGGTTGAAGTTTAGCTTCAGTTCGCTGTGCGTTCAGAACGCAGTTTAGTATCCATTCATAAAATGATATAAAAAAAAAATACCTCTGTATAGGAGAGCTCACTTGGATTCGCCCCTTTCTGAATGTACATAATGGCAAGGAGCTAATCTATAAGACACTGAAAGGATTGATACGGGTACCTGTTATGATACATGCTGCTCGTGTGTGTCTGCCTTCAGTGTTCAAAGTGTAGGATTTAATACTTTTGGAGGAATCGTGGGACCAGATCTCCAGGGATTCTCACAAAGCTGCACTATGCAAACAGCAAGACATTAATTACCACGGTGTGTGTTGTCAAACATAAATATTAATAAACATCACAAGCTGTGCGTAAAAATCAATACTGGGATCAGTTTGAATAATTAACAGTAACAATCCATTGATGTTCCACTTAGATTTAGAAATACGTTTTTAAAAAAGCAAATTTTTAATGTACTTGAACAATGTAGTTCAAGTCTTTAAAATCCTACAACTTCTACGAGTTCCTCAGCTAGGCTGATCCACTACCTTTTTACAGAGCACTAACTTCGTAGTCCAAATTGTGTCCAATGAAATGTTTCTCATACAGAAGCAACCTGGACAAACTGAGTAAAAAAACATAACATTATTACCACCATTAACATAGTGCCAACATATTCCACAGCACTTTACAATTGTAGAAAGGGGAAATTTGAAGATAAAGAAGGCCCTGATCAAACCAGCTTACAATCTATGAGGAAAAAACAACAATATATGTGAACACAACCCCAGTGAAAACAATATAATATAAAAGCAAACTAAAACTTCCCTTATCTCTAAGGTGAAGTATCCAGATGGATCCCCGAAGACTTCCTCTTGTCTTCAATAGATATACACAGAAAAATAGGGGACAATCTGCTAAATACAAATAAAACAAAAAAAACATATATACAGCGTATAACTGTGTGGAGACTGGTATTGATGTGCAATCACAAATGGTCACTCACAATTTTGAGGAGTTAAAAAAGCCTTGAATGGTGTCTTTATGGAGTTAAAGCAGCTTTAGATGGTATTTTTCAGTATCCAGTATGTTGTTCCTCCTCACATATTCATCAGCAAATGGGTATATATGTCTCAAAGAGAGAAAATGTACAAAAATGTAGTGCACTTCCAGAATATAATAAAAAGTATTTTAATAACTTACATTCAAGAATAAAACAAGCAGCATATCACCATAAACGTCCTACGCGTTTCGTCCTTAAAATGGACTTCCTCAGGGACTTGATATGATAAAGTGCAATCAAAAATAGCAGCAATAGTAACAATATCCCCCCCACTGTCCTTTATATACACCCCCATTTGGTATTTGAAGTCTTTCAGCTGGTGTTCAATTTTCATTTCGGCGGTATGGAGTCGAGTGACGTCATCACGTCCGTCGCGTGCGTTCCACCATGCGTTCCACAGATCCGGAAGTGGGTCGCGATCGTCAGTCTCTCTCTCCTATTCTCATGCATTGACTCAAAATGTATACAAACAGGTGGATAAAACGAAAAAGGGGAGGAACAAATAATTAAAAGGATACTCTGGACGGCACTACAAACTAAATAAGAGATGAAATGAATGTACATTCTCAATAGGATCTAAAATTAAAGACACATATAGGTATATATATATCCCATTTTCATTAAATGCAGATTTTACAAAACATTTTCTTGTCATATATATTCCCTTCTTATTACATAAAGTGCATGAATAGTAATATGACCCAACATCTTGGATAATTTAAATAATAATATAACAAACTATACACATATGATATATAAACAATAAACCCATTTGCATTGCACTCTTTGTCCCCTTCTTAAGGATAAAAATAAAAATTTATGACTAAATAAAAAATAAAAATAAAAATAGAATTAAAATAAAAATAATAATAAAAATAAAAATAAAAATAAAAAATCAGAATAAAATAAAATGAAATAAAATTAAAATTAAAAATGAAAATAAAAATAAAACAAAATGAAAAATAAAAATCTTTAATTTATCGAATGGGAAAAAAAGTGCAATGTTTCCCAAACATCAAAATATAGAATCAATGATTCGCTCAATCCTCAAAAAAACTCCACAAATCAATGTCTAAATTTAGACCAAAAGGTTGAAGTGTTTTTAATTTGTTGATCCAAAAGGTCTCTCTTTGAGAGAGCTTTTTGGTTAAATTACCTCCTCTCCAATATGGGTCCACATGTTCTATGCCCAAAAAAATGAAACTCTGCCAATCAAATTTGTTACAAGTGTTGCAGTGTAATGGTACTATGTGTTTCACTGATTTTTTTCTTATATTATTTTGATGTTCTAATATTCTCTCTTTTAACTTTCTGCATGTTCTCCCCATGTACTGTTTCCCACAAGGGCATTGTAACATGTATACCACATTTCTCGTATTGCAATTTATATTAGATTTTATTTTAAATTTCTCCTTTGTAGTGAAACTCATAAATTCTCTTTTTTGTACGAATTTCTGATTTTTACAAGCTTTACAAGAATTGCAAGGGTTGAAACCACTAATGCTTGAAATCCCACCTTTATGTGGAATTTTTAAAGCGTAACTTGGTGCTAATACATTTTTTAGGTTTTTTGTTCTCCTAAAAATAACTGGTGTTTTTTTTGGAAACACTCTACCCAAGATAGGATCCTGACGCAAAATGTTCCAGTGTTTGTTGAGAATCTTTTTTATTTTCCAATGTTGTGTATTGTATTGGGTCGTTAAAGAAAAATTATAATTATCCTTAGAATGTCTTTTGGGATTAAATGCTATTAGATCTCTTCTATTTCTTTTTCTATTTCTTTAATTTCTTTATCTAACAATGTTGTTTCATATTTCTTTGCCAAAAATTTATTTTTTAGATGTTCAGCCTGTTCTCTATAATCTGAGTTCTTTGAACAATTTCTTCTCACTCGTATTAGCTGGCTTTTTGGTATAGTTTCCAACCATTTATCTTTATAACAACTTTTTCTGTGAATGAAACTATTCCCCTCTGTTTTTTTGAAGAAACATTTGGATTGAATCTGATTATTTTCTATAAAGAGGCTTAAATCAAGAAAATTAATGGTAGTAATATTTATTTCATATGTGAATTTTAAACCGTAGTCATTTTGATGAATATAATCAATAAACGATGACAGATCCTCATGTGAACCTCGCCAGATCAAAATTATGTCATCAATAAAACGTTTCCATAGGACCAGGTTCGCTACCCAGCCATGCCCACTCCATACATGCTTGGATTCCCAATCCCGCATATATATGTTTGCATAGCTGGGGGCGAACCTGGTCCCCATGGCTGTACCTGTGGTTTGAAGATAAAATGAATCATCAAAGAAAAAATAATTATGTTTAAGAATATAATGGATACTATTTAAAATAAAATTTCGAAAATTTGATGATATACTTTCGTCTTTCTCCATAATCTGTTCCACTGCTGCTAAACCTTTGTTATGTTTTATTATTGTGTATAATGATGTGACGTCTATGGTCACCCAAACATAGTTAGGTTCCCAAGTTACACTCTCCAAAATTCTTAAGATATGTGCAGTATCTTTCAAATAGGAAGGTGCTTCTTGTGCATACTTTTGAAGATGGTGATCCACAAATTCAGATAAGTGAGCAGATACGGAGTTAATGCCACTGATTATTGGCCTGCCTGGAGGAGTTATTGGGTTTTTATGTAACTTAGGGAGAAAATAGAAAATGGGTATTATTGGAAAATTATTAAAAAGATATTCTTTATTATTTTTGGAAATTATATCGTTTTTGTAGGCTTGATCTAATAAGGATCCCAAAATGATATTAAATTTTTTTGTTGGATCTCCTGTGAGTTTAATATAGGTTTCTATATCTCCCAAAATTCTATGCGCCTCATTCATATAATATTCTTTTGTCATGATAACTATCGCTCCCCCTTTATCGGCTTCCTTTATTACTATGGTGTCCATCTTTTGTAGTTTAGTTATACTTGCTGATTCTTCTTTACTCATATTATATTTGTTTTCTCCTAAATTTTTTTCTTTTTCTAATTTTTCTAAATCATGGCACACCATATTATTGAAAGTTTCTAGGAAAGGGCCTCTATCCCCTACTGGATAGAACTGTGATTTCCTTTTAAATTGTTTTTGTTCTAAAATAGTATGGTCTATATTTTTGGGGATGTATTTTCTTCTATCTCTCTTTTTAGAAAAAATCTTTTTAAAGTCATTTTACGGATATATTTCTGAACATCAATATATGTATTAAAGAAATTCATTTTCTGATTCGGGGCAAATTTTAAACCCTTACTTAAAGCTTTTAAATCAGTATGGCTTAACTCTATATCTGTTAAATTGTAAATTCCATATTGTTTCCCTAATATCTTTGTCTTAGGGAGTCCTCTCTTCTTGGGTTCTCCTCTATTCTTTTTCTTTTGGGGGGAGTTGTATGAATATCTGATATAATTTCTTGGTGATTGTGACGTGGTTTGAAAAATTGGGTTATTCTCCCATCCCTGTGCTGGGACCCTCCCCCTAAAAAAAGATTTTCCCTTTCTTCTGGATATTCCAGGCTAGTTTTTGTTACTTGGGCATACGATCTCCTAGGGGGAGAATCAAACCGACTTGGAGAAATCAGTTCTCTCCTACCCCTTTGTTGAGAAAAATTTTGTGTTTGTGAAATGTTATTTGAAATAAATGTTTTTCGTCTCGTGATAAGTGGACTTTGTGTACGATTATTAGAATGTCTTCTAGTTTTAATGGGTGAATCTCGTGTGTGATTAGTTGAAGAATTTCTTATTTGCATAGGTGAAGTATTTCTTTTATAAATATCAGGTTTTCTGAAAAAAGTGTTTCTATTTGGCCCCTCAAAATTCCTATTACCTCTATCAAAATTTCGTTTTCATTTATTTTTAATTTTGTTACTAGTGGAAAAAGTATTAAAGGTTTTATCTCTTCTATCTCTCTTCATTTTATTGTTTTTAGTCTCCGCAATCCTTTCCTCTAAATTATTAATTGCATTACAAATTTCTTGTTCTTTTTCTTTATATTTATTAGGTTCTATGTTTTGGCTTCCTTCAGATTCTAGGGTTTTTATGTCTATCTCTATTTGTTCTCTTTCTTGTTTTTCAAATTCAATTATTAATTTCATAAGATTTTGCGAACATGTTTCTATGGTTGAATCCCATTTTCTTAGGAATTCTTCATTATCTATACCACATGCTGGAATTTTTTCCACTCTTAATCCTCTAGGGATCAATCCCTCTTTCAGATACCCTTCCAGATAGGACACTTCCCACCATTTTTTTGTTTCTTTTACCATTAAACGTTCCAATTTGGTAAAATAATAATTATCAGAATCTCTTAAAGGGATATTATCTGTATTATGTTGGAACATTTTTTTCAAATCTTACGTTCCTACCTCTTTGTATATTTGAAAATGAATGAGTTGCCATAATGATTGTGCCACAATAGTGAGGATTAAAATATACAAAAAAACAACAATATATGTGAACACAACCCCAGTGAAAACAATATAATATAAAAGCAAACTAAAACTTCCCTTATCTCTAAGGTGAAGTATCCAGATGGATCCCCGAAGACTTCCTCTTGTCTTCAATAGATATACACAGAAAAATAGGGGACAATCTGCTAAATACAAATAAAACAAAAAAACATAGCGTATAACTGTGTGGAGACTGGTATTGATGTGCAATCACAAATGGTCACTCACAATTTTGAGGAGTTAAAAAAGCCTTGAATGGTGTCTTTATGGAGTTAAAGCAGCTTTAGATGGTATTTTTCAGTATCCAGTATGTTGTTCCTCCTCACATATTCATCAGCAAATGGGTATATATGTCTTAAAGAGAGAAAATGTACAAAAATGTAGTGCACTTCCAGAATATAATAAAAAGTATTTTAATAACTTACATTCAAGAATAAAACAAGCAGCATATCACCATAAACGTCCTACGGGTTTCGTCCTTGAAATGGACTTCCTCAGGGACTTGATATGATAAAGTGCAATCAAAAATAGCAGCAATAGTAACAATATCCCCCCCCCACAGTCCTTTATATACACCCCCATTTGGTATTTGAAGTCTTTCAGCTGGTGTTCAATTTTCATTTCGGCGGTATGGAGTCGAGTGACGTCATCACGTCCGTCGCGTGCGTTCCACCATGCGTTCCACAGACCCGGAAGTGGGTCGCGATCGTCAGTCTCTCTCTCCTATTCTCATGCATTGACTCAAAATGTATACAAACAGGTGGATAAAAACGAAAAAGGGGAGGAAAAAATAATTAAAAGGATACTCTGGACGGCACTACAAACTAAATAAGAGATCAAATGAATGTACATTCTCAATAGGATCTAAAATTAAAGACACATATAGGTATATATATATCCCATTTTCATTAAATGCAGATTTTACAAAACATCATTGATTCTATATTTTGATGTTTGGGAAACATTGCACTTTTTTTCCCATTCGATAAATTAAAGATTTTTGTTTTTCATTTTGTTTTATTTTTATTTTTATTTCTATTTTTATTTTTATTTCTATTTTTATTTTTATTTTCATTTTTAATTTTAATTTTATTTCATTTTATTTTATTCTGATTTTTTATTTTTATTTTTATTTTTATTATTATTTTTATTTTAATTCTATTTTTATTTTTATTTTTTATTTAGTCATAAATTTTTATTTTTATCCTTAAGAAGGGGACAAAGAGTGCAATGCAAATGGGTTTATTGTTTATATATCATATGTGTATAGTTTGTTATATTATTATTTAAATTATCCAAGATGTTGGGTCATATTACTATTCATGCACTTTATGTAATAAGAAGGGAATATATATGACAAGAAAATGTTTTGTAAAATCTGCATTTAATGAAAATGGGATATATATATACCTATATGTGTCTTTAATTTTAGATCCTATTGAGAATGTACATTCATTTCATCTCTTATTTAGTTTGTAGTGCCGTCCAGAGTATCCTTTTAATTATTTGTTCCTCCCCTTTTTCGTTTTATCCACCTGTTTGTATACATTTTGAGTCAATGCATGAGAATAGGAGAGAGAGACTGACGATCGCGACCCACTTCCGGATCTGTGGAACGCATGGTGGAACGCACGCGACGGACGTGATGACGTCACTCGACTCCATACCGCCGAAATGAAAATTGAACACCAGCTGAAAGACTTCAAATACCAAATGGGGGTGTATATAAAGGACAGTGGGGGGGATATTGTTACTATTGCTGCTATTTTTGATTGCACTTTATCATATCAAGTCCCTGAGGAAGTCCATTTTAAGGACGAAACGCGTAGGACGTTTATGGTGATATGCTGCTTGTTTTATTCTTGAATGTAAGTTATTAAAATACTTTTTATTATATTCTGGAAGTGCACTACATTTTTGTACATTTTCTCTCTTTGAGACATATATACCCATTTGCTGATGAATATGTGAGGAGGAACAACATACTGGATACTGAAAAATACCATCTAAAGCTGCTTTAACTCCATAAAGACACCATTCAAGGCTTTTTTAACTCCTCAAAATTGTGAGTGACCATTTGTGATTGCACATCAATACCAGTCTCCACACAGTTATACGCTATGTTTTTTTGTTTTATTTGTATTTAGCAGATTGTCCCCTATTTTTCTGTGTACAATCTATGAGGATCTGAGGTGGGCAGATATATATCATTAGTTTTCTTGTTCATACTAACTGAGAAGGTGGTCTGGCTGGGATCTTGTTTCTTCCCAGCCAGCCAGGGATCTTGTTTTTTTCCTGTGAAACTTTGTGTGATAACATTAATCTCACACAGGAGGCTGTTGACAGTGCTATTTGCTGACACTAGCAGCCAATTAACAGAGCAGGAAGTCCGGAGTAGGTATGGCTAGGGCTACACAAATAAAGTGGTTTTACTCCTAACCGGCAAAGAATTGAGCAGTGAGAACGCAGGAGCATGGGCTATGCACCAAAATGACTTTATTAAGCTAAAGTGGTTTTTGCAAAGTAATACTCTTGTTATGGATTGTGAATTGGGGTGCTAAGGCACATATGTTGAGCTAATAGTACACTGCACCAAAGACACACATGTTGGCCGCAGGGATCTCTCTAGCAAATGACTCAGTGAAGAACAATGTTACTGTAGGGGAAAGTGAAAATGAGCTTGTAGCTATTAATGTTATGCCATATCACACTTGCTGGGTACAGTGAGTTCTCAGCAAACAAAGGGTTTGATAACAAGGCTGCATGATGCAGGTCGGTGAGAATGAACATGTGGCAATGAATTTGCTCACCATGGCACACTGGTGGGCACAATTGTTTAAGAAGTGGGGGCAATGGTAAATGACTCTCACATTTTCCCACAGCTTTGAGCGGTAAGAGATTGTGTTGGCCACCACAGGCCACGTATAGCGGACATGTGGCTCAGTGTAAAGTACTCAGTGGGATGGTCCAATGGTTGTCACAATTGTGATTTTATGATTTTGATTTGTGAAATATTAAAGGTGTTTGGCCTTCTAGAAGATGCTGACTACCTATGGCCTATAAAATAAGAGAAAAGTTTTTTTTAAATCAGAACTAAACTAGCCTAAGAGTTGCTGCTCTCCAACCCTTGTTGTTTCTAAAGAATTGTATTTTGTAAAAGAACAAACGCTCAAAATAACAAATTCTTTATTGAAGATAGTGATAGTATCTAATGAGAATAACCCAAAGTGCTAGACACACACAAAAAAAGGGGCGAAACGCGTGCATCAGTGGTCCTTCTGATGCTGTCTCTGACCATATTTTGACAGCACCATACTTTGAACTATCATTTTCTATTTTTAGTTTTCTGGCTTCTCATTCATTTTTTCACTAGGGACCACAGACTGTCTTTTTGAATGGGAATAGCTGCAGGTGGGGGTTTAGTGTTTAGCCTTATCATTTAATTACCTTATTCAAGCCGGAGACGAGTTGTGCTGGCTATTCTATATAGGTATAGAGTTCTGCTGGCACTTTTCTTCCACAAGGCGATATCAGCTTAGATATCTTTAGATCAATACTACAGTTGAGCTGCTGTTTATGCAGTTACCTGAAAAAAAATTTCTATACCGTTTTCCCATGGCTACCCCCTTTCCTCCTCCTATCTCTCTATACTACTTAATGCTACTGACAACCGCTGACCGTGACTACCTGCATTAGCAGTTCTAAATGGCAATTATTTACTATAGCATTTACCTTGTGGTATGCTGCAGGCATATGCTACCACAGCTCTGTTTGATCTGATTCACAGCAATGCTAAATATTATATTGATAGCACATTGTCGGCATGGTTTAACAATGTACTAGGAGTTATTTCATCAATCAATAGTGTTCATAATACTAATCATAGGGCACGTGGCATTCATGTGCTGCCACAGTTGTGGTAGACTCTACCTACACTAATCAACTGTATAGAATCTAGTGCTGATATTTCAGCTAGCAGGCACCTGCTGGCCCAACCGCTGACCATGACGACCAGCATTAGCAGTTCTTGATAGTAGTTATTGATTTTAGCATTAACCTTGCGGAATGCTGCAGAAATATGCTACCACAGTTTTGTTACATCTGATTCACAGTAGTGCTATAAATTATATTGATAGTGAATTGCTAGCATGGTTGAACAGCGTACTATGAGTTGTTTCATCAATCCATAGTGTTCATTACACTAACCATAGGGTACGCGGCATTCATGTGCTGCTGCAGTTGAGGTTGACTTTACCTACAGCAATCAACTGTTTAAGATCTAGTGTTGATATTTTAGCTAGTAGGCACGTGCTGACCACTATTAAGTTCAATGTAACTCTGTGTGTGGTTTAGCTTCACAGATAGGACACTTTGTATGATTGTTCAACTGAGGCGATACATTTGTCTCCATAAGCACCACATGCTTGATTTTTTTTTTTGTAACATTTGAGTCCTAGCTACCCTATTGAGTAGCCGTTCTCCCTAGTTACTTAAGCACAGACGTATGCTTTCATTGACTACCATATTTCAGACATCAGAGTCTATTGACTTTTGTTTATCTATATCGATTTATTTACATCGATTTATTATTTTATTATTATATTATTATTTTTTCCACTGTGTTGGTTTTCACCTTTTTTTGTGTGTGTCTAGCACTTTGGGTTATTATCATTAGATGCTATCACTATCTTCAATAGAGCATTTGTTATTTTGACCGTTTGGTCTTTTAGATTTCAGCTCTGGTGACTCGACTTTATCTGGAGTTATCCTGAATAATATCCGTTATTTATCCCAGTATCCACTTTAGGTACACTACTTCAAGCTCCTTAGTCCCATTCTACTTGGGGTTACCCCCTTCTCCTAGTGTACCATAGTAGGCTGACTCCAGTTATTTTTCTAGTATTTTTTTTAAAGGAAAACTTTAAAATTAAAAATACCTTTCTTTTAACATGAGAATGTTGCTGTTGGTGTTTAGATTCAGCCAAAAAAAAAAGTTAAAAAAAAAAAAATCAATGATATCACACAACCCTGTATTTCACCGCTGATACAGTTTCCTCTCTGCAGCCGCCCTGCCTCCGGTGAAGTCATTAGTAACAACACTTTGTCCTATCCAATTCTTTTCTCAGCGAAACATTGAAGACAACGGGTGCTTGTGCTGTTATCTCCCTGCCCTGCCAATAATTTTTTTCTCATAGAATTTTGTGTCTGTAATGACGCTACCCCGCAGTGTCTGCTCAGAAAGTGTTGTCACAGACGAGAAATCAGTTTTTCCTTTAGTTTACTTTTTTTATTTTTTAAAACTCCCCCTTGATTTTTCTGATGTGTGGGTACCATATAGTTTGAAACCATGGTTATCCGCAGGTAAGTGGTCTGAGGAACTGCCAGGTATGTTTACATGCATTTTTTTAATTATGGAATCTCCATGGCATTGGGGACTGATACAATCTAAGGACAGCTTCAGTTTCTTCTTTTGGTGTATCATTTGTTTGACGAACAGAAGAATTGGCACCGCTCCACTGGTAACGAATGAGTGAGTACATTTTTTCTTATTGGAGGGCATAGAATTTGCATTGTATTTTTTTCATTTCTTTACTGTGTTAGCTCAGTTATTCGAGGCCTCTATTATCATTGGCCACGAACCTCAGTGAAATATATCTCTAATCTATCCAGTGATGGCTGGTGAAGTCATAAGATAGTGGTCTGGAATACATTGTGATGACCACCAGGTATTTCAAAACGCGTGTGCGGGAACACATGGGCAATATCCAGAAAGGGTACACCAAGCATAGTGCCTCCTTCCCATTTTGCAGAATACCAAATAAATGATCCTTCTTTAGTTAGTTTTATGGTTATTCACCAAAAGAAAAATGATTGGAGGGGTGAGGACATTTCTAGGGAATTGAGTAAGTTGGAAGGGAGGTGGATTTTCGAACTCGAATCTAAATTTAGATTTTGAGTTAATTCATTTTTTATAATAACTATATTTTTTTATTATAATAATTAAATTGTTTTTGTAGATACACATCTTTATATATTTTTTTTATATAAATTTTTAAAAAGTCGTAGATTTTTTATCTAGTGACATAAGTACTCCATTCTATTTTGCCTGCTTACCTATTCTTTCATCATTCCAAGACATTACTTATTTATTTATTAATTTCTATGGGTCGCACTTTATTTTATATAACACCGTATTTTGATTAACATGTATTTTATTAGTTCGCTTTTCAATTTTTTTGCACATCTTTTATTCATACAGGTTAAAAGGATATTTTGTTAATATTAGCCATGCACAAGTCTGTGTATCTATTTGTTTGTTAAAGTCTGATTTAGAATTTTTTAATCCTTAAACATTATGTAAGTGATATTAAGTAGGATCTACTTCCCGATATCGGTATTATCAAGCACCTAAGGAAGAATTGATATCTAATTCCATGGACCAGAAATGACGTTGGACGCCAAAATCGACCGAAATCCACCAAAGTGCTGCAATTGAGGAAGTAATTTGGCGGGCTATTTTAAACAACGGCACACAAAGAAATCATCAAAGACTTTGATAAAGACTGACTTAAAGTCAAAACGCGTTTGTTCGCTGTTTTTTAAAGGACTAATTACTTTCCCACAAGGACTGTTATATGTTTATTTGGTTTTATATTTTTTGTCCTTTTGTTAAAAAATTCACCTTACTGATTCCGGTATTGCTGTTGACCACTTTACAACGGATTCTTCACTTCGAGCTGTCCACAGGTGGTCTCCATTTGCCCAGAAGGAAACCATTGGCCGTTCTATACAGAGCATGGCACGGCTCTGTAATCTGTGAGCGTAACCATTAATCATTACAATATTTAATTTTTATATACACTACACACTATGTGTTGCATATTTCTGGCTCCACATCTGAAATTTACAAGAACCTGCAATATCTTTGCTTTTAAGTATTTTTATATAGTATTTGTGTACCATAGACACCTTTCAAGGGTGTATCTTACATTGTGATTTATCACTTTGTGTTGGTTTTTATGATTCACTGTTTAGGTTTTGAGGCAGCACCTGGGCATATGCTTAGTGTAATTTTCATCTGCTGGAAGTGCCATACACTTGCCTAGACTTTATATAAGATAGTGGAGCATTTCACACCACACCTGCAATTATACTCCACTCTATATCTGTGTAAGCCCCACCTCCTGACCTGTTGGATTCTTCTCATTTAACTCCATGTACTCCGCCCATGGTGCCTGCTATGTCACCATAAATTTATGGATACACCGGAAACACAGACATTTTTCAGAAATGTCAATATCTAGTTTCTGGGGAAACTGCAGAACTGGCATCATTAAAGAGGCAGATCTCAAAGGTTAAAGTCACGTATTTAATATGCATGTTGCAATTACTATTATCCCCACCAATAGGATTGCAACAGAAACTAGTGAGGTTCTGTCCTAGGGGCTCTTTGGAGAAGCCTCCAGTGCATAACATCATTCTCCAGTAGTTTGGACAATTCATCTGGTTATTTCCTAGTGTCCTTCTCAGGCCCACTAAAGGAGATCCTCTCACTGCAGTTAGTACGATACAATTCTCCTCACCTTAGGTTCTCCTTACCCTAATTAACACCAGCAGCCAAAACACAGTATCCAGCTGAACCAGCAGCTGCCCCGAACCTTCACCAGCCTCTGCTCAACAATGCGGCAGAAGATTCAGCAGAGAGCAAAATGATATAGGTTTATTGATTAATCGCCAGTTCCTTAGTACCTTGAAGGGACTTCAGAGGAACCTGTCTGCATCAAGTGAGTTCTGTCCCAAAAATATGTTGTCCCATCTTAGTTTTTCGTTTTAAAGCTGCCTTTACATCTTTATTTTTTAAGCTGTAAATTATTGGGTTTAATATTGGAACAACAGCTGTTTTAAAAAGAGAGAAACCTTTATTAAAATCCAAAATTCTGACAGAAGATGGTATTACATACTGGAAGAAGAGTGTCGAGTAAAGCATAATAACCACCGTGAGATGGGAAGAACATGTGTAGAAGGCTTTTTGTCTCCCGGACCTCAAGCGGATCCTCAGTATGGTGGCAATAATAAAGAAATAAGAGATAAATGTGAAGACAAAGGGAGTGAGACCCAATATAAGCAATCCTCCTGTAAAAAATAAAACATCCAGGGAAAAAGTATCACTGCAGGATAATTTTATGATAAACATTATATCACAAAAGAAATGGTTGATAACATTGGATTTATAGCAGGAGAGATTTACGATTAAAACCACGTACGGTATAATTTCTAGAAACCCCACAAACCAGCAGGCAAACGCCAACATAAAACAGTTCCTCATTTTCATAACAACGTTATAGTGCAAGGGGTTACAAATGGCCACATAGCGATCATAGCTCATGGCAGTCAGTATCAACAACTCATTCGAGGTAAAACATGAAAAAAAGTACATTTGTGCCATACAGGTAGAGAAAGAAATACTATCATTTCCAGATAGAAAAATGACAAGTATATTGTGTAGAGTTACGGTGGAACAGCACATGTCCATGATGGAGAGGTTACACAGGAAGAAGTACATGGGAGTGTGCAAATGATGGTCCAAACAGACGAGCAGGAGAATGGTCATGTTACCTCCAAGGGTGATGAAATAAATCAGCAGAACCAGAATGAAGATTAGAACCTGGAGCTCTGGGACATCCGATATCCCCTTAATAATGAAGAAGGTCACTTTAGTCTGATTCACGGCATCCATTGTTACATTGTTCTGAAGGCTAAACAAAGTCACATAATTGCTTTGTTTTGAAATATATATATATAAAATGTAATATTCATTTTGTATCAAAAAAACCTTTGACTAGTTTCAAGTAATATAGTTACTTACTTACTTTCTGAAGAAGATAATAAGGGTTGAGACAAAAGGTATTAAACAAGAATATGAAGATCAAGTCAGAGCATTTGAAATGTATCACAAAAAGTATTATTTTACTTTTAAGTAATTAAAGAGTTAAAGGACCACTATAGTGCCAGGAAAACACTTGTCCTGGCACTATAGGGTCTCTAGGTTCCCCCCCAACCTCTGGGCCCCCCTCCCGCCAGGCTCTATGAGGTGGAAGAGGTTTAATCTTACCTGTTCTCCCCCACCAGGCTCCCTCGGCGCGGGGAACTCTCCTCCCCTTTTTCGCCGTCATCGGCTGAATGCGCATGCACGGCAAGGGCCGCGCGCGTATTTAGCCAGTCCATAGGAAAGCATTCCCAATGCTTTCCTATGGACACTGGCATCTTCTCACTGTGAAAATCACAGTGAGAAGCGAGTAAGCGCCTCTAGCGTCTGTCAATGAGACAGCCACTAAAGGCTGGATTAACCCATAGGTAAACATGGCAGTTTCTCTGAAACTGTTATGTTTACAGCAAAAAGGGTTAAACCTAGATGGACCCGGCACCCAGACCACTTCACTAAGCTAAAGTGGTCTGGGTGACTACAGTGATCCTTTAATGAGAGGGTAATGCACTAATTATTTCTGACAGATGGTAAATCATGGTCTACAAGTAAAAGTGTAACAAGGGTGGTAGTTATTACAGAAAGGAAAAAATGATTAAAATATCCCCAATGGCATCATATTATCACCTGCACCTTTGGATCATCCACCAGGCGTAATATTCCCTGACAAACATTTTTTTTATTAAATCTTAGCTTAATTTACTACCTGTAGGGTGGTGAGACATGGAGACCTACTTTTCAGCACATGATAACAATCGACAATTCTGAAAGATTGTAGAAGAATTCCTGGTGAGATGATTACACTCTCAAATCATGATCACCCCAGTAAAGCCATTTTTGACATCCTAGTTAATTTGAGGATTACCCATCCTAGATTATTCAGACTACCCCAACTGCCACCAGAATAACTATCCTTCATCTATAGATCTTCCCTAGAGGTAAACCCAATCATGTATTTCAAATGTCCTAGTTTGAGTCCCAAATCAATGTAATAATAAAAAAAATTATTCTAGAATTATACACCTTATATTAACCCCCTGGGTTCTTGAAAGAGTGAATTAAAAGAACCTTTGGAAATACTAGCAGGCACTTGAGAAAAGTTTTAAGTGGTGATTCGCCCATCAACACTCTAAATTAACGCACACTAATCCCTTGGTTCCATGGTCTTGTCCTACGTATTTGTTAATATACTTTATAATAGAGCCCAAGAAGCCAAAAGAGGCAGAGGGAATGACGTCTGTTGGAGAAATAATCACACTGGGACATAGCAATACCAGGGTACTCTTTATATAGGAAAGATAGGGAAGGCAAGAAAGGGGGAGGGGTGGCCCTGTATGTGAAGGATAGCATAAAATCTAGCCAAATAAAAGTTAGTGAGGCAAACATAGAGTCCGTTTGGGCTACGTTAGAATTTGGTAATCACACAGTAACTCGTGTAGGTGTGATTTATAGGCCCCCAGGACAAATTGAAGAGTTAGATAATCTACTAGTTGAGGAAATAGCTAAAATGACAATGAAGGGGGAAGTTATCATCATGGGTGACTTTAATCTTCCTGATGTAAATTGGAAAACAAAATTAGCTACTTGTGCCAGGAGCACACATATTCTAAACTCCCTACTGGGATTGTCTCTAAAACAAGTTGTTGAGGAGCCAACTCGTAAAGAGGCCATACTAGATTTAGTGTTAACAAATGGAGATTTGGTATCAGATATTACTGTAGGTGAAAGTTTAGGATCCAGTGATCATCAGTCAGTGTGGTTTAATATAAGAACAGTGACTGAGTCACACCACACAAAAACAAAAGTTTTAGACTTTAGAAAAACAGACTTTTCTAAAATTAGAATATGGGTAGAGGAGTCATTATCAGACTGGAGCAATTTAAATGGAGTCCAAGAGAAATGGGATTATTTAAAAGTTGCACTATTGAAGGCAACAGAAAATTGCATTAGGCTTGTCAGTAAAAGCAAAAAATTCAAGAAACCACTGTGGTACTCTGCAGATGTGGCCAAAATAGTTAAAAACAAAAAGTTAGCATTTAGGAATTATAAAAAAACCCAGAGTGAGGAAGACAAAATGATCTATAAGATTAGGCAGAAAGAGGCTAAGCAAGTTATAAGAGCTTCCAAATCACACACAGAAGAGAAAATAGCACAGTCAGTAAAAAAAGGGGACAAAACATTTTTTAGATACATAAATGAGAAAAGAAAAGTAAAACAAGGATTAGTTAGATTAAAAACAAAAGAAGGAAGGTATGTAGAAGAGGATAAAGGTCTAGCTGACTGCCTCAATGAATATTTTTGTTCTGTATTTACAGATGAAAATGAAGGAAAGGGACCCCAGTTGAGAAAAAGGATAAATGAGTCATTTATTACACGTGAGTTTACAGAGGAAGAGGTTCTATTTCAACTGTCAAAAGTAAAGACAAATAAGTCAATGGGACCTGATGGAATACACCCAAAGCTATTAAAAGAGCTTAGTGGTGTACTAGCAAAACCATTAACAGATTTATTTAACCAATCGTTGTTAACAGGAGTAGTCCCAGAAGATTGGAAGTTAGCGAATGTTGTGCCCATTTACAAGAAAGGTAATAGGGAGGAGTCGGGCAACTATAGGCCAGTAAGCCTTACTTCAGTAGTGGGAAAGTGATGGAAACCATGTTAAAGGATAGGATTGATGAACATCTAAAAACACATGGATTTCAAGATCAGAGACAACATGGGTTTACTTCAGGGAGATCATGCCAAACTAATCTTATTGATTTTTTTGATTGGGTAACTAAAATTATAGATCAGGGTGGTGCAGTAGACATTGCTTACCTAGATTTCAGTAAGGCTTTTGACACTGTTGCACATAGAAGGCTTATCAATAAACTGCAATCTTTAAGTTTGGATTCAAATATTGTTGAATGGGTAAGGCAGTGGCTGAGTGACAGGCAACAGAGGGTTGTAGTTAATGGAATATATTCGAAGCTTGGACTTGTCACCAATGGGGTACCTCAGGGATCTGTACTTGGACCCATTCTCTTTAATATTTTTATTAGTGATATTGCAGAAGGTCTTGATGGTAAGGTATGTCTTTTGCTGATGATACTAAGATATGTAACAGGGTTGATGTTCCAGGAGGGATAAGCCAAATGACAAATGATTTAGGTAAACTAGAAAAATGGTCAGAATTGTGGCAACTGACATTTAATGTGGATAAGTGCAAGATAATGCATCTTGGACGTAAAAACCCAAGGGCAGAGTACAGAATATTTGATAGAGTTCTAACCTCAACATATGAGGAAAGGGATTTAGGGGTGATTATTTCTGATGACTTAAAGGTAGGCAGACAATGTAATAGAGCAGCAGGAAATGCTAGCAGAATGCTTGGTTGTATAGGGAGAGGTATTAGCAGTAGAAAGAGGGAAGTGCTCATGCCATTGTACAGAACACTGGTGAGACCTCACTTGGAGTATTGTACACAGTACTGGAGACCGTATCTTCAGAAGGATATTGATACCTTAGAGAGGGTTCAGAGAAGGGCTACTAAACTGGTTCATGGATTGCGGGATAAAACTTACCAGGAAAGGTTAAAGGATCTTAACATGTATAGCTTGGAGGAAAGACGAGACAGGGGGGATATGATAGAAACATTTAAATATATAAAGGGAATCAACACAGTAAAGGAGGAGACTATATTTAAAAGAAGAAAAACTACCACAACAAGAGGACATAGTCTTAAATTAGAGGGACAAAGGTTTAAAAATAATATCAGGAAGTATTACTTTACTGAGAGGGTAGTGGATGCATGGAATAGCCTTCCAGCTGAAGTGGTAGAGGTTAACACAGTAAAGGAGTTTAAGCATGCGTGGGATAGGCATAAGGCTATCCTAACTATACGATAAGGCTAGGGACTAATGAAAGTATTTAGAAAATTGGGCAGACTAGATGGGCCGAATGGTTCTTATCTGCCGTCACATTCTATGTTCTATGTTTCTATGATTATCAGATAATAGTAGCCTACAAACAGTAATTGTCTGACATGAATGTGTACTATTGTATTCCTGAATGAATGGAATGGAAATGGAAATGACAATTTTTAAATATAATTTCTTTATGTATATTTAGATTTTACTCTTCACTAAGATTTTTACCAAAAAAAAAATCCAGTTTTGCATATTCAGCAAAGATAAAGATTTTTTTTTTTTTTAACATTCCATATTGATTTCATTTTTTATAAAACATAGACAAAGACAATAAAAAAAAAACAGCATTTTTTTTTTAAAGTACAAAAAAAGTCAGACTGACAACATGCATTATACAATATGTGACCTACTAGGGAATGAGAAAATGAGCAAAGTAATGTTGCTTCCATTTACATCACAATAAAGATTATTTTTAAAGTCATGTTGTACTTACATCCAGGTCAATTAAAAAGCTATACTGCAACTATACTGCACTGCAGTCATTTTTAACATGTAATTTATTTATAAGGTGGATTTTTTTCATGGGACACATATAACATATATTGTGATTCAGTGTGATATTCACTGCTGATTTTAATCCAGCTACTAGGACATTAATATCTTCCTTTTATTCCAGTTGGACCAATGTATAAAACACATTATTGTAGTGATAATTGTGGGACAAGTGTAATAGAATAATATTGATATTTTCTGGCAGAATATGTCTGACATTATGTATAAATCAAGTGGGGAAAGCAAGATTTTTGCAGGTTCATCTGATCAAGTCGGAAGTGCACCCCTCAAAAAATTCCATAATATGCTTTATTTTTTCTGTGATGTGTTTTTGGTGTGAGGGTTAGATCATTCAAAGTCCCGGTATTGAACGTACTTCTCTGTAGAGGTCAGTGATGACTGATCTTACCTGGATACATTCTCTCACTGCGGCTCTGGAACTGATTGAGCAATTGAGCAAAAGTTTTTATCTTATCCTGGTAGATTTGGGAACATGTCCCTATTGGTGCTGAAACCTCGGAAGACATGTGTTTCAACAAACACTATATTAACTATTTTTATTCTGTTTCCATGCAACAAAACAGATCATTAAAATTCAGACAATTAGTATCACTTAGATAAAAGGATGTATGTCACATTTATCTACATTCATCCATCCATTCACCCATTCACTCATTCATCTATCTCTACATCTATCAAACCATCCATCCATGAATACATCTGTCTGTCTCTCCATCTTAAAGGGAAACTGTCACTTCTCTGGAGTTTATACCATTGACACCAAAATAGAAAAGGGAGGAGTCACCATTGGAATGTATCTATTAGTCCAACTGGTTTCCATGGTGATTGTCTCACTTTTAGTAGTTTTGGACACTTTTTAAAACATAAAGCTTTGACAAATATCCCCCATTGTTTCATTCCTGTATGTCCAGTTGTCTGGTTACAATTACATGTCTGTTAGTCCACCCATTGTACAGCGCTACGGAATCTGATGTCGCTATACAAATAATAAAATAATAATAATAATAAATCTTAGGAAATAACAGCACTCCTTTAAGTCTTGGCAGTTTCCTGTCCATCTCGCTTGTCTCTCAGACTGTATATCTTCACTTCCCATCTTACTACGATATTCGGATGGGTAGCACATCCTCTCCTTGCTGAAGAGAGAGCAGAGAATGTATATTAAATGCATGCTGTGTCATAACTGAACCGAACAGCATATTAAATGAAGAGTACTTACACACTAAAGTGAGAATCCAAAGAAAATTCTAATTTAATTTAAAATTTCAGATCAAAATTGCTAAATTGGAAAAATTCTTTACGCTCTTCCGTTTCAGCTAATTTGACCTAAAATTTGAAGTTTGCTTTGAATTCTCACTTTAGTGAATATCCATGACAAGGGAACAGGAAAAGGAACATTTTAAAACTGCAATGGCGTGTGTTTGCTGTGTTTTCATTGGCAATGCAAGCTGCTGTGTAGATGTGAGAATGATATTACAATGTGTTTGATACATGTTTCATGTGGCCAAGTGACAGGTGCTGTATTATGGGTGCAAACCTGGTGCAGACTTGGTGCAGACTTTGGCGAATAACCCCCACTGCAGTAATATAATTTAACATGAGGGCAGTATCAATGAAAAATATAAGTATGCGATAAAATATCACATATTGTTGAGAAAAAAAATAGGTAACCCAGATGAAATACAATATATATGCAAACATTTTTAATGTATAAATAATAAAAGAAATATAAGCTCATGACATTTATACAAATGTCCAGTAACTTAACCATCCAGATAGCAACTTTAGCCAGCAACATAGACCTACTCTAGAGACATCAGAATCCCAGGTCAAGGGGCTTGAGAAAGCCTCTAGCTCCATTACAAGAATCGCCAATATGGAACCTTACGTAGTTCAGAATGGGAAACGCAGCAAAACTTGGATCAGTGTTGGAGTAGGAATTATAAAGACAATGTCTGGCAGTCATTCTTAAACCAAAAGATCATCAATAAAGCAGGTAACAGGAAATACATGTGGAGACTGGATCACTGAAGATGGAAGGACCGAAATCTGTGATCAAGAAGTGACTAAAGTCCTGAGCAAATCAATGTGCAAATCGTTGCTATATGATCAATCTGTTTCGTCAATTTGGGAGTTCATCTGGATAGTGACGTACATCTCTCCGAACTGCGTTAAACAGCGATGTATCACTTATTCTTATTAGAAAATATAATCTTCCGTTTTAGTAGTTTAGAGTGTAACTTTAATTGGTGATATGCATACCAAATTCAATAATTCTTTAGATTAACAATGTTTCTTTTCTTTTTTTATTGACCAAAATTGATTACATGGAGGAGCCCTAAAAAGAATATCTATATTTATAGATTATATATTTATTAGAATGTTCCCTAACCATGAATCATTTATTTTTCCCCATCAATGATCTCTTTTGTTTTGACAGCATGGGTGGACGTCAGGATCATGACTCAAAAACAAACATGGTATATATTGCAGAGTTCAATTGGTCCATGATTCAGGTATATTTTGTCTCAGATTCCAAAAATTCGACTGATCATCCAATCAGTCCAAATTCGTCTTAATTGCAGTTCATAACAAAACAAATCTACAAATCTAATTATTTCATTTTCACATCAGTGACTAATCCTTTGAGGATAAGATTTACAAAACAGGTTTGCATTAATTCTATCATTGTAGCCATACATGGGTACTAAAACATCTGTTATGTATATATAAATTAGGGGTTTGTATTGTACGCAGAGAACATTTTACGGTTGTTTTGGTTATACATTGCAGCTCAATACTCTTACCAGCAACCCAAAAGTGCAGGGAGTTTGAGTGTAGGATAATATATTTTCACCCGACACTAGGATATACTGGTGGTTTGATGTTTGTATTGGGTAATGCTTATTGTATGTTAAGATTTCAATAAACTATGCTGCAGACTTTTTTACGTTCTTGAAAAAATATAGATATTTGTTTTCATTCAAAGAGCTCTTTTTGAAATACCTTTGCATGGGACGCATGTAACATATATTGTGACATGAATTGCGGCAGTTGAACCAATGGATATTTATACAATTTGTATAACTTAAGCCTAAAAAGCACATTTTTTGGCTGTCAAGTCTGTTGGTAGTTGTGACGAAGTGCCCTTCGCCACTTGGTCCTGGAGAGGCCTACTTGCCAGCCTCCTCCCCTGTGACTATGACTCTTTCATGTATCTGGCTTTAAAGCCCCTAGTCTACCTTCAGACAGACTATTTATGTAGGCTGCTTTATTTATCTTATGTTTTAGTCGCCCTGTACCCATTATAGGTGCAGGGTGTGTGTTATGTAATTGTTTATAGTGTGTGTACTGTGTAATGTATTGCCTGCTCTCTTGTATTGCTGAGGTTTGCTACCAACTAGGTGGGTTTGGCTATGGAGCTTGTCTAGTGCCCTCTGTTGGTAGCAACAGCAATATGCACTACCTGAATTGCAAGACTGGTTCATTTGCATATTCGAGTAGATTTGCATATTGCTAATTCTGCAGGCAGGTGAGATATTTACTGTTAAATATTGTCTCCCCCCACCCCTTTAAACATGTGCCATTGTGTTGTGATAAGTCACTGTGTGTTGCATGATATGGTTTGACTGTTTGTGATTTTATTGAGGTTTCACAACAATGTTATTGTGGTGACCCTATTGGCTGGTCCCAAGGGAAATAAAGGTTTTGACAGTTCTTCTTGATCCCTCTAAACGTAGCCTTGTCTCGTTATTGGAGGGAGCTGTTATAATCACACTGGGGATTGCTATGCTCTGCATGCTCCCCTGCGCTTGAGTCACTTAGCTCTTTTAAGAGCTTGTTCCTGACACGCTCTCCATGGAGGAGGGGTCTTCACCACACAGTCCTGGATGCTGGAGGTTCTTACAGGGTGGAAGGAAGAGTTCTTTCCCACACAGTCCTGGAGGACAGAAGCTGATCCAGGGTGAAAGGAAGACGGCGAGACTCCAGTCAAGATACGGCGGTTGCGGAGTCTGCGGTGGTTGTGGTGTCTGCTGCAGCGCTTGGAGTCCTCAGGAAGCGCTAGGAGCATCCGTCAATGGAGGGTACTCAGTCGGAGTACAAGGAGCTCCGTTACAGTAGTGCACAGGTCAGTGTAATGAATTAGGATGGAAAAAATCTTTGGGTGCCATCTTCAGCATCCATATATTGCTCCCTCCTCAATTAGATTAGTATTTACGCTTCTGAAGTCTCAGTGTCATTTCCATTCAGTTTGGATGGCTGTATAGAGTGAGAGCAGACATATAATCCTCGCCCAGGCTTCTTGGCCTATTTCTACCCCCCAGGTTGTGTAGTGTAAATTTGTCATGGTCAATACTAGTTGAGTAAGGGGCAGTCTCTGGGTGTTGAGGGGAGTTAAAGTTTTTGTCATACATCTTCCAATGGTTTAACAAACAAAACGTGGGACAGGGGCAACCCTGACAGACACTAAGCTATGGTGGTTTGGGTGCATACTGTAGATATTAAATCCCTTTAAACTGAATGTTACATCTATACACTGTGGCCGATAACCACAATGTCAAATATATGTTGAAATTCAATAAATTATCATCACTGATGTTAAGTAGTTGCACAAACGTGTCAATGAGTTTCCATATTTATTCTGTATATATAAAATATTTATTTTTTACCATATTTATTGTTTTACCATATATCTGTTAGTAATTTGTCCAGTACATTGCATAGATCCCATTTTTGCCATTAAAGATGGTGTGCAAGGCACTCCCACTCCAATAAAAATGAGCATATTATCTTGAAAAAATAAAAGCACATTGTAATTAAATTAAATGCCTTATTTCCTATTTTAAAACATTAATTTACAAATTTTTAGCCTTTGTTTTAATGCTGACTTCACATCTTTATTTTTTAGGCTGTATATCAGAGGATTTAGCATAGGAACAGCTGCTGTGTTGAAGAGAGACAGTAGTTTATTGGACTCCAAGGTGTCTGCTGAATTTGGCCTGAGATACTGAATAACAAGGGTTGCGTAAAGAAAAATGACAACTGTGAGATGGGAGGAGCAAGTGTAGAATGTTTTACGCCTCCCAGTGTTGGAACGGATCTTTAGAATGGTAATGATTATGAAGACATAAGATATGAAAGTCAAGAGAAATGGGCAGAGAAACCCAACAAAATAGCCCTCGATAAGCAGATAGGTCTTCAAAAAAGATGTGTCATTACAAGATAATTTAATGAGAGGTATAATATCACATGAAAAATGGTTGATTTCATTGCCTCTATAACAAGTAAATCTTGAAATTGTCCAGAACATTGGTGTGATCTCCACAACACCCAACAGCCAACTGGCAATGGCCAATGAAGTGCAGACTGTCCGATTCATAAACATGGCATAATGCATTGGGTAACAGATGGCAACATATCGATCAAAGCTCATCGCTGTCAGTAGCAGCAGCTGGTCAGTAGCCAATGTCATAAACATAAAAATTTGAGTCATACAACTAAATACGGAAATTTTGTTGCTTCCTGAGAAGAAGTTTACAAAGATTCTATGCAGGGTTGCCGTGCTGGACATCATATCTAAGACAGAGAGGTGACACAGGAAGAAGTACATGGGGGTGTGTAACTTAAGGTCCCAACAGACGAGCATAAGAATTGTCATGTTGCCACCAAGGGTGATGAGATAAATCAGCAGAACCAGAAGAGAGATCGGAACCCGCAGCATCGGAACATTGGTAATACCTTTAAGAACGAAAAAAGTCACTGTGGTCTGATTTAAGCTTTCCATCTACCGTGATTGTCTGGAAACATAATGAAAGTAGACAAATTGTTATGTTGGTTTATCAAATCAACATCACAGTCATACTTCTTATAAGTAGAATTAAAAAAATTCAACAAACATGAAAAGTATACACGTTGATCTATACACATACCTGCTTTGGCTGTTTCCTTGCCTCCAGCTTTGTACCCCATTTGGCACCTTGTCTTTCTTGGCTGATTGCCGCTGTCTTTTGTGAAGATCCTGACCACGGCGCTTCAACGAGAGTTTCTTACATCCTGGGCAGCATCTCTTGCACAGCTTCCTTCGCCTGTGTGTTATTAATACCGCAGTCTTATTCGAAGATCCCGACCGCGGTATTAAGGCTATAGGTTGTTTTTCGTCCTATAGTGCATTTGCTCCCACTCTTCATTGAGTGATTTGGTGTCATCTGGGGGTCTTTTTGGTTATCCCTGACTTGGATTTTATTTTAAAGGTTTTTTATATTATTTGATGTGTCTATATTTTTTGTTGTGTTTGTTTTCTTTGGCATATTATCCATATTATTGATGCATTTGTATATGATTTATTGACATGTCTACAGCTGAATACATCTAGCAACTTTGTTGTATATGGATACTATACTGAGTATTTAATTTACGGTTTTATACTCTGTTGCTATTTTGTGTGTTTCTAACCACTATACAATTTCTAATTTTATTTTATTATTCCAGTGTGGGTATAACCATTAGGGAGGTTGTGAAACAGCCTTTGAATTATTTTATGATAGTTTTCTATTTGATGATTATTAAAAGATTTATACTTTTATATTTAACTTTTTAGTTTGTGATTTTTTGGGGGGAGCGCACACACCTTTTGATTTATTGTGAGTTAATTGCTCAATTCAGTCGCTTGCTGGTGTTTTGTTGCCGCCCCTTTTTAATTATATTGATTTATGGTATAGTTGTACCGTTCTATATATTTCATTTTTTGACTACACTAACCTAAATGCTTTACAGTCATAATGTGGACAAGGCATCAGGGGAGCTGTAGTCTAAAATATGTGGAGTGCCGAAGCTTGCCTAACCCTGCTCTAGAGTTTGTGGCCACAAAATAAATAAAAGGAGGTAAGGGTTACTGCAGTACCGAAGAAAAAAATAAAGTAAGGATAATAAATATATACACTGTGCTGCAAATGCCTCTCAGTGTTGCTCAGGCAGTGTACGAAGTATCATAGAAAACAGAAAATAAAGCTTCCTCAGCTGGGTAAAAATAAATAATCATATCCCAGCTTATTGATTTCTACCTGGCTGAGGGAGCTACTGCGTGGTGGTAAAACCTGTTCTGGGGACTGAAACAAGGACTTTAGTAACTATATTGGACATTGTTCCTTTGGTTATATTTTATAGATTATATTTTGGTGTTGACTTTAATAAATTATTTTGCTTATATTCTGGTTTCCGGTATCCTGCAAATCTAAATAATGGCAGTGTAGTCTACATACAACAGAGCCTGCCGAGATAGAGCCTTATGCAGGCTCCAGTCTTGTGAGTATTAATTTATATTTATATTTTTATATGTTAGTACAGTATTGTACTACTCTATGTTCTTGTCTCTCTAATACTTCTGTTAGGATTGGTGAAGAAAGATACCTACATACACCAGCGGTGGGACGCCTTAACGGACCCGGCTGCTATTCATATCAGAGCTAGGTTCGTTAGCTCTTTGCTTTTGAGTGTTCCATTTTTATTGGTTTATACTCTTAACTGTTTGGATAACTTTGCACTATGGTATGTTATAAAAAATTTGACGTTACCTGGATTTGGAAATAATGTCTATTGGTCTGTTAAAGGTACAACCACGTTGATATTATCTGCCCTTTATATTAATGCTACACTATTTTTTATTAGTTATAGATTTAATAGTTGTAGATTTTTTCGCTGCTTGTCTTTTTTCCCCCTCTGTTGCTCACTTCTCACTGATCTGTGAATAAAATCAACATTTAGTGAATGCCCAATAGCCATCAAACATCTTTTCTTCCCATCAATCATCTCTTTTGGGGCAGCATGGTCTAACTTCAGGATCATGAATGGAACATCACATGTTCCACATTGCGCTGCTGTGTTGATCCGTGATTCAGGTATATTTAATCTCAGAGTCCAGAAATCCGACATCATCTCATCAGCTAAAATTGTTCTGAATTGCAGTTTATAACAAAATAAATCTACAATTCAAATTCATTATTTTCACACGTTAGTGAATAATCCAGTGAGGATAGGATTTACCAAAGAGGTTTTCATTAATTCCGGCATTAAAGCCATTGGTGGGTACTAAATACTTCTGGTATGTATATATAAATTAAGGTTTTGTATAGGATGCAGACCTTTTTTGGGTTGTTTTACACTGGGGCTGAATACTATAGTCCATGCAGCAACCCAAGAGTGCTGGGAGTTTGATCTTTCAGCAATCACTAGCACATATTGATGTTTGTTGGTCATTTTTATTGTATGTTAACATTTAAATAAGCTATGCTGCAGATTTTTTTTTCATACTTAAATATATTCTGTCTTTTTTCACTCAAAGAGTACTTTTTTAAATACCTTTCCCTAGAAAGCATGCAAAATATATTGTGATATTAATTGCAGATTCATTAATCCAGCAGCTTGGACATTGATAAAAACATGAATTTCTGAAACTGAAGAAATGGATATAATATATTTTGTGTAAATCAGGCCTGCAATGCAATATTTCGGCTTTCAAGCCTGTTAGTAGTCCACCAGGAAAAATGCCATAATGTGCTTCATTTCACAGTGTCGTGCTCTTGGTGTGAGGGACAGGTAGAGCTGGTTAGATAATTCAAAGTCCCCTCTATGGAATGTACAGCTCTGTAGAGGTCAGTGATGTCTGCTCTTACCTGGTTACTGGATACATTCTCGCACTGCGTCTGCAGGACTGATTGAGAGCAAATATTTTTATCTTCTCCTGGTAGTTTTGGGACCATGTCCCTATTGGTGCCAGAACCTTAGGAGATGATTTTTTCAACAAACAATATATTAACTATTTTTAGTCTAACTCCAAGCAACAAAACAGAGAGAGAAATTCAGATAACAGACACAACTTGACTTATGCTCGGTGCCAGCTACTACAATAAAACAATAGAAAAGTAGGGAAATGAAATAGATCCATCCTTCTACACCTTGGCCCTAACACAACCTTATACCATAATGCCATTAAAAATGCAAATATTAGACTGGGGGCTGGGCTCCCTTTAATGTTTTCAAATTTCAATTAGGGCAATAACCTCCCATACCACTGCACAATGCATGGAAAGAATGGTAGGGGCCGCTCATTTATAATTATCCATCATTCCATTATATTAGACGGTTTAGAGTAAGCGTCTTGGGGCTGGGTTAGTGTTTCCACATTTTCTGATTGGGTACAACATATAGCAAGACATTTCCAACGTTCTGTTGGTGGCTTGTTTGGCAATTCTGATTCTGCAATAAGATTTATTTATTTAAAATAAAAAACAAAGAATATAGTTAATTGCGCACTATCCCAAATCCCTATGCACATTTAAATAACTGTTTTTAGTGTCACCCCGGTGGCCATTTAAGTGTAAGCTTACCTGCCACGTCAAGGCAAAACCTCTTAGGTGAGTCCTACGTTAACAATTCACCTTGCATCTTTCAGCTTCAGGTAAAAAAATCTCCAATGAGACAGAGAGGGGTATTTTTCTAAACCCCTACATATTTAACAGTTATTATAGAACACATGGGGTGGGCGGAAGCATTCTTACATAATATTCCCAATGCTTTGATGAGGGATAACCCCACCCAGTATCACTCTACATTTTGAACAAAATCCAGAGGTGTTTAAATTTTTTTTAATAAAAATGGAGCTTGCCATATGGAGTAGGTGTTCTCACATCTGCCAGGGGCAGACTGATTTTAGGAGGGGATACAAATTTTGTCCTCGATTGTGGAAAAGTCATAAATAGAGAATCTGATCGTGTCTTTGAAGATTATACTAGTAAACATTTGGCAAATTTGTGCTCTAAATTACTTTTTTCACAGGGTCTATTTGACTGCTGGCACATATAACATGAAGGAGAGAAAGACTACACCTATAACCACTTATAACACATATTCTAGAATTGACAAGTTCGTGAGAGTACCATTCCTTTTATTTTATTATCTGATTTTGAGATGTAAATTGGTCCGATCATGCCCTCATAATGTTATATTTAGAGGAGCCCTTTATGCTGAATCCAGATAGACCATGGAGACTCAGTGACTAATTGTTCACAAAGCTAGAAAACAAAAAACTTGCATTGATTGTAATTAATCATTATTTTAAAGAGAATTCTGATCCACATTTACATACTACTCCATTATGGAATGCCCATAAAGCTGTTTTAAGGAGTCATTCTATACAAAGGGCATCATATTTGAAGAAAATTAGATTTAAAAATGTAAAAGAATTGGAAAAAGCATTATATACTTTAAATCTGAAAAATAAATTTGGCTCTTCTGAATCCCTTTCTGCTTTTTCAGAAGTTAAGAGTAAAAGCAATGGAAAATTGGAAATTGTGCCTCATCTTCCCAATTCAGGATTAAACACTTGATTGGCGATAATAATGTTAAGGTAACTTATTAAAATTAATAATATCTTATCCTATAAAAATATATTATTTGGCCTCTGATTCTAAAACAATACAGCACACGCCAGATAAAATATGTTCCTTTCTGGACAAGGGCCCACTAAAACAAATTTATATTAATAAATTTGAAACTTTAAATTCCCCATAGCATGAAAAGAAATTATTGATGCTATTAATTTGATTCCATCTGGTAAAGCCCGGGTTCCATCAATGTACCTATAGCACCTCCCTTAACCACAGAAATCCCACCGCAGTATTTGGACTTAAAAGAAGAATTTAACAAGGTTCAGTCGGAGGTATTACCTCCACATAGGCCCTACGACTATGCCATTAATTTGTTACCTGGCACTATGCCCCCTAAAGGAGGAGTTTATGCACTTTCTCCTCAAGAAACCCTTTGTTTAGAAGAATACATTAAGAATGCTCTCAGAAAGGGTCACATAAGAAGATCCTCTTCACCTGCTGGGGCTGGGTTCTTCTTCGTTTCTAAAAAAAGAAGGAGACCTACGCCCTTGTATTGATTATAGGGGTCTAAATAAAATTAAGATTAAAAACGCCTATCCCATTCCCCTTATATCTGAGCTATTTGATAGGTTGAGGGGTGCCCGAGTATCCCCAAAACTTGATCTGAGGAGCGCATACAACCTAGTCAGAATTAAGGAAGGGCATGAGTGGATGACCGCGTTTAATACGAGAATGGGACATTATGAGTACCTGGTTATGCCGTTTGGCCTATGCAACACCCCAGCGGTATTTCAGGACTTGATTAACGATGTCCTTAGAGAATATCTTCACATATTCGTACTAGTGTATCTAGACGATATTCTCATCTATTCCCCAGACCTAGAAACACATCACGGACATATGAGAATCAAACTAAAAACCCTGTTAAAAAATGGCTTATACTGTAAGCTGGAAATGTTTGACCAGACTGAGATACAGTTTCTTGGCTATGTTATATCCCCTTCTGGTTTCAAAACAGACCCACACAAACTGGAAGCAGTCTTGCAATGGCCATCACCCAAAGGCCTTAAAGCTACACAACGCTTTATAGGTTTTACAAATAATTACCGTAAGTTCATTAAGAATTTCTCATCAGTAATCGCTCCTATTACCAACCTAACCAAGAAAGGAGCAAATTGTAATTTATGGTCAAAAGAAGCAAAGGAGGCATTTGAAAGATTAAAATATTTATTTGCTTCAGCACCTGTTCTGACGCACCCTGATCCGACCAAACCTTTTATTTTAGAAGTAGATGCGTCAGAGACAGGAGTAGGAGCCATTCTGTCTCAAAGAGAGAGTCCTGATGTGCCTTTACATCCCTGTGGCTTTTTCTCTTAAAAATTAACTCCAGCAGAGAGAAATTTTGACATCGGGAATAGGGAATTACTGGCCATTGTTCACGCCCTTAAGGAATGGAGGCATCTCTTGGAAGGTTCCAAAGAGCCACGATCATAAGAATTTGGCTTATATTGGGGATGCTAAGAGATTCATGTTCCCCGTCTTGTCCGGTCATTTCACAACCGTTTTCCTCGCAAGCCGGCTCCTTCCTGCCCGGTGAGCGGTCTTCGAGTGGGGGGTACTGTCACGGTCCCCGGCTCGCCACCATGTGCGTCCGTGCCCGACCGGCGCGACCGCACCAACTCACTGAGCTTACCTGCTCAGCGGCGAGCCAGGAACCTGTCCTCCACGCGGCTTGGGGAAATCCAAGATGGCTCCGACCATGAGGTTGCGTCCATCCATGGCTCCACCCCCCAAAATTATACGAACGTGCACGTGACGTCACAACGTCAACGCACGCGCACGTTCTGGCGTCAGAGGTCACACTCTGACCAATCAGAGCCTAGAGAGGGAAATTTAAATGCCTAATTCACCCCAGTACCTTGCCCTGTCGTGGTTTCTCGTTCCTGGTTTCCTGATAGTGCGTTTTTCCTTGTGATATTGATATTCTGGTATTCTGATCTTGGCTATTCCTGGTTATTCCGATTTCTGGTTCCCCTGACTTGGCTTGTTGTAATGGTATTGTGTATTTCTGGCTTCCTTGACCTCGGCTTTCCCTTTGACCATTCTCTGTCTCTAACGTATTAGTCCGGCCATTCTAAGGTCCGGTTTACGTTCTATCCTTTTATTTCCTTTCTTATTTCTTTAATTAGGTTTACATAGTTTCTGCGTGTTGGACCACACTAGCAGCCGTGACACTGTGTTTTATATATACGATGTACTATGCATTAAAACCTTTGAATGCTTATTGATAGTACATCTGAGTGGTGTGACTTCATTGCATATTCCCAACAGATAATTATAGAGACAAAGGAAAGCAGATTGTTCGGGCATAAGTCCATGGCAGCATAAGGGTTTCCAGATCCTGTTGTGATTTCCAGCCTAACACAGAGGGAAGCTTTGAAAGCACAAATAATAACAATACCAAAACCTGGTAAAGCACCTAATGCTTGTTCAAATGTTTGCCCAATTTCTTTGATTAATAATGATACTGAAATATTTTCTAAAATATTAGCTAATCGACTCACTCAAATTCTCCCATCCATAATTGCAAAGACCAGGTAGGCTTTGTTGTGAATCATCAGGCACCTGATGGTAGACAACATTTTATTAATTTAATTTAATTTAACTAATTAGAATTAGTCGCACACCTTCTCTGCTCCTCTCTTGTTTGCTCCTCTCATGGTTCTGCCATGATTTAATATCCCAGATTCTTTAATCAGGGCCGTATTTGTGCATTATTGTCAACCACAAGCAAACGTATCTGCAACTGGATTGGTATCTGAAATTTTTACATTATCCAATGGGACTAGACAAGTTGTCCATTGTCACCATTTCTGTTTGTACTGGCAATGGAACCTTTAGGTGATATAATACATCTAAGTAAAAATATCAAGGGCATTGCAGTCGGGGATAAAGAACATAAACTAGGCCTTTTTGCAGATGACATCATGCTATCTTTATAAAATCCAATGAGCTGCCTTACTCCGCTGATGTGTATCTTGCAAGAGCTTGGCAAAATGTCATACTTTAAATTAAATACAAAAAAATCTCAAGCTCAGAGAGATGGTGTAGCCTTGAAATTTCTTGTCTTGGTAGAATCAATTCGGTAAAAATTGCACACCTTCCAAAAATTCTATATTTTATTAGAGATATCCCTCTTAATATACCTTTGTCATTTTTTAAACAGGTTCACTCTGACCTTCTGAGATTTGTATGGAATGAAAAAAAAGCAGAATTAAATTATTCGTATTACAAAATATCAGTGCAAAAAGAGGTTTGGGTTTGCCAAACTTTACACATTACCATTATGCAACTAATCCAGCCGCGGCAATTAA